CATTAGCACCTCTAGTAATATATTTACTGAGAAAAATGTTGACGTGTTCAATACTTATTTTACGTTTTTTATGTTTTAGTTGATATAAACAGAAAACAGCTGTTACCTTCAGTGTGATGCACACGGCTCTGCTGCTTCTCCAGCGCCTCCACCAACGTTTGGTTTTCCACAGAGTAGTTATAGGCTAAAGACAAATGGGAGGTCATAAATGAATGAAACAGTATAAACACACACATATAAATTGTGTTTTCTTACCATAATAAAGAACTATGAACCAAAGAAGTAGGAGAACAACAGTGACACCGTTGAGTCTAGAGTCAGCAGGCATCCCTCTCTCTCTCTGTGTGAAAACAGATGTAAAAACTGAAATGTGTTGAGAGGCAAACTGTAACTTTAAAACAGGGAACAAGGCTCACATCGCGATGGTTGTTCACAGTGTTTGTAGATTCTATGATTTGCTCCCTGAGCATTTTGAAGTGCTGGTCCATGTACTCCTGTTGAACACACAGATATGGATTAACTTTCACATCTTTTCTGTGTCAGACGGTGTCGGAGAGCGTGAATCAGCTCACAGTCAGCTGTCGCCGCAGGACAACGGAGACCTCTGAGGCGACGCTCAGTTGCTTGCTCTCCAGGTTGCAGATGCTGCAGATGTAGCGTCTGGATGAGCTGCAGTAGTACCTCAGCCCCTCGTCCTTGTGCTGCGGGCATTTTCTCTCCAGAAGGTCGCTCAGAGGTTGAACCAGGGGGTGTCCAGTGAACACCCGCAGCTCCAGGTGGTCCTTTAGATGCTCTTTGCAAAGCGACAGCTCACACTTCAGACACGTCTTAACAGCCGGAGTCGTCTTCTCCGGACAACAGTCACAGTAAACACGTTCAGCATCCTTTGCCTGCAAGGACAAATCACATATGAGGAGGAGAAGAATGAGTTTGAGCAGAAACAGGTAGTAGTGATAAATATATAATGTAATCAGGTACCCTTCTCCTTTTGTTCAACCTGAATTCCTCTGCGATGTTGGCCAATGCGTAGCTCTTCTGTTCCAAAACAACCTGTTCAAAACCTGCCCTGCAGTCTGGACAGCGGAAAGGTGCATCTGAGGAGTGATCCCTCAGGTTTCTCACACAGTCCATACACAGGCAGTGTCCACAGGGCAGCTGCTGAGGATCTTTATAAATGTCATGGCACACAGGGCATGTCAGCAACTCCTCAAGTCGGGTTTGCTCCGTATCTTCCATATGTGGCTCCTCTGAAATTTAACTAGGTCCCTAAACATAAACAACTGAGAGAAGAAGTTAACAACAGAGATATTACAACCTGGGCTGTTGACCTGCTCTATTTGTGTTGTTTAGAATAACCTGCGAGCCTATAAACGCAAATATATCTGTATATACCGAAAAATATTCTTTAATTCTTACCCTAATATCAAAAGGTCTCTGTTTTTAACTGTTAACTACTTTAACTCCGAGTCAAAAGCGAAAGCGCAACAGAATACAGGGGTACTTCCTGGAAGGGGCGGGGCTTGAGAGGACGCACGAGTTTGCGCTGTGAAGACTTCCGCAGAATTAAAAATACGAGCTAATTTCTTTTATTTCATTGCTTCAAGAGACTACAAGTTGTTTCTTTCTCACTGTTAGCATTGTGTTTTATTTAGAGAGGGGGAAACTATCAAATCAAGCTAAAATAGATTTTAAAACAGACGTATTTGACCATTCCCCCGTTTACCCTGTACTTTATTCACTTTGTTTTCATGTCTATTTTACAACCATATAGGGGAAATAACTTCCAAGTCCTGAGTGAAAGCTAACTTGAATTTTAATAATAAAACTAGACTCAACAAAACAAGCTTTATTTTTTTGGCCATGATCTGTCCCACCTTTATTCTTGTCCAGTTTAAAATCTACAATTTTTAAACTGATCAAACCTGGACTGTGTTATCCTACACCAAAGACAGATTGCTTAAAACAAAGTTTGTGATTTGATAAACATTTGTAAAAATTGCCACTTCAATGCTTCTTTGGCATCCAAGTTGTCTTAGATCAGACCTAAAACACAGTATAGAAAACATTTAGGCTGGTAAACTTGTACTAAATGATCCTTCATTTCATCCCAGATTCTACAGCTGCTGTTTCTTTTCTTATTGGACCAGTCATCAGAAACTACCCAATCTCAGACTTATTTAATTTGGCATGAATATATCTGTGCTTATCAGCTTTTATTGTTAAAGAAATATGCAACATTTATTAGTTTATACATTTTACTTGCTGAACACTTTTACTCTTTAAATCAGTGAAATGTGAACTTTCTAATTAACTGTGTTGTGCTGATGGTATGAAAACTTACTGTACCACTAAATGATTTATAAAAAACTTTTATTATTAACACATAAACACATATTTTGGCTAACAGTGGTTAAACAGCACAAAAAACAGACATTGGTCAATAGAAACTTTAAATGTATAAAAAGTTAGAAAAACTTTAAGAACTTTTGTCAACTTAACATTAAAAGTTGAATTCAGCTTGGCTATTCTCAAATCCACAAACGTGCAATATTCAAAACACCGAACGGTAAGAGTGTCAAATATGAAATATCCCTTGTAGTTCTTCTCAGAAAATAAACAAAAAAAAAAAACATACATATTTTGTAGCAATAAACATAAAAATGATAAAAGCATCACTTCCAACAAAACATATAAAAGCAATACAGTTTAAACTGCTGCAGTCACATTAAACCTAACAAACGCCTGAGTGTTTCTCCATGAATCAGCTGCAGAACAAAAAAGCTTGGACATTTTAACACTGACAGCTCAATAAGCTCAAACAAGTAAATGTGACATTTTACTTTCATCCACATTCTACATGTTAAAGAGTGACACCCTGTAAAGACTAGTGTACGTCTTGTTCTGTCATTATTGTTCACACTGTAGCTCTTTAACAGGCTGGTCTGAGTGTAACCAGGAGGACTACTGGTGCTAAATGATTAGTTACACTGACTAACAAAACTAATGTTATTCAGCTCTTGTTTGACAGACTTTAGAAGTTTATGGACTGAGAAAATGTTTTGCCGATATGATAAACAGGACATTTATATAAGCATTCAGTAATAACATAAAAAAAGATTAATAAAAACAGTCTACATCTCATTAAAAAAGAAACTACAAAAGGTTTGCAGTGCGATCTTATATATTTTTAGAGAACACCTAAATATTAAAAGAAGCATAAAGGCTTATAGGTGTTCCATCTGAAATACAGCTGAAAGAGGATTTCTCTTCACGTTTCTTAAAAAAAATGTTAAGCATTGCACAACACCTTTGCTTAAAACATTGACAATTGGTCTGTTAGAAAAACAGCTCATAAACTACCAAACAGATTTGAATAAAACTTAAAAAATAACGACTGGTTGTACATTTACACCCATGAAAGGCAGCATGTTGTTTGTGTTCCTTCGGACTGTTCTGGGCCTCGAATTTAAAATGTTTTCAATCCCAAAAATACAGCAGATTTTCAGTTAGCATACATGAAAGGGATCCATGATTAGTTGTAACATTAAACTTTATTTGATAAACATTTATTTTAACTGTAAAATAAAGACTATAAAAATACTGTAGGCTGTTCAGTTTTGTAATTTTTTTTAAATATATTTTAACACGGACAGAGCCATTCTATTTACACGCAAAGCATTCTGGGTAAATGAGGACCTGGACAGGTCCTCAGTGTGAGCGAGCTATATCCACCCTGAAGGTTAATCTTGGACAATATCTGATGATCGACTCTTAAATGAAACCAGAGAGCGTTGACAGAGAGGAGAAGGTAGAAATGACTCAGCCTGTAACTGAAAATATGGATGGAGGACAACAGAGCTGCTTCATGGAAGAAGAACCTCAGRTTAGCCTGTTAGCCTTCGCGCTAGCGCCAACAATATATTGCCTTATTAGCTCGGTGCTAGCGCGACAAACAAGCTAAACTGCTAAAAGCCTCACACCGAGGACCTCCACGTCATTTACCCAGAATACATTGTGTGTAAATAAAATGGCCCCGTCCATGTAAATTTTTTAACTTTCAGTTTAAAAATAAAAAAACTGAACAGCCTACAGTATTTTTAAAGTATTTATTTTACAGTTAAAATATATGTTTATCAAATAATGTCTAATGGATCCCTTTAAGTGGAAAAGCTTTATGAGAAAACATAATGATGGCTGCTGCTTTATTTTCCACTTTGTCCTCAACACAGCAGGTGTGTTTAAACAAAGGTTAAGCTATTAATATGGAAAATGAATCAGTAGCCCTGTCTGCAATTTTCAGTCTGTTTTTTCCAGTGTTTTCACGTCATAATCTTTGCCTAAGTTTAGCATTAACAGTTGCAGTCAGTCTTGTTCGTTTGTAAGCAAAATATTTCATGTACCATCATGAACTTCAATGTATCTTTGAATTGTTCATCACTTTAAGAGTTAATTTAAATCAAGATGACCGCCACAGCTAATTACCCCTAGCAACGACAAAATTATATTAAACAGATGAGCTAAATTTTGACGTGGTAGTATTCAAGAGTCACTCAACACAGACTCAGAGTGTGACAGATAAAAAAGYAAAAAAAAACTATATCAACTCCCATTATTTTGCAACACAAGAGGATCTCAAAAACAGTCATAAAAGGCAGAAACATTCATGTATTTTAATGAACGCTAGTTTTTYGCAGAGTTTATAAAGTATTGAGTAGGGATGTCCCAATCAGATACTCGGTATTGGTGGTAGATATGGCCATTTTTTGAAAATCGGGTAGAATCGGATTTAGTCATGTAATCGGGCCGATCCAGTTTTCAGCATCATCATGCTTTACAACTGCTGTTAAGAAGTCATGACGCACACAAGTACGCAACCATGTCCACAATGTGGGAACACTTTTCAATGGAAAACAATGATGCTGAAACTGCAGCTTGCAAAATATGCAAACTGGATGGTTCTCATGGTGGGAACAGCAMGACTCGCTTTAATACTAACAACCTTGTCACTTGGAAAGAAATAAAGAAATAAAGCTATCGGATCGGTATCAGAAAGACTAATCATTAAAAAAATCGGATTGATTGTAGTGTTGAGCAGAACCGTTGCACCATCCTTGTACTCTTGRGGATCAGCAGGCGAGGGGTTTTTGACAAGAATGTAAAAACTAAGGAAAAAGAACGGGAAGAAAAGTGTTCATGAAACTGCAACCTTTGTTATTATTTCTAAGGAAAAATCTGTATTTGTTGCAACACACACCTGGAATGGTTCATAGCTTCTGTCTCAGTTGTAGCTTTAAGTGTTCTGGTTTCAGCTTACAGGACAGTGATTCAGTGTTTTCTCTGTGAGGTAGACACAGGTTATAGCTGCCACTTCCAGCTGGTTTTTCCCTCCATCACAGCTGCAGGCCAGCTATCGCTCTAAATGAAGGAACAAAGGCTTCACACTGGTTCAGTTTGTGTTTCTCCAGGTTCCTCATGATCCTGAACATCTTTCCACAGGAGAGGCAGCTGAAAGGTTTCTCCCCTGAGTGAAACCTCAGGTGGGCCTTCAGGTTGTCTCGCAGGCGGAAGCTTTTGCTGCAATGAGAGCAGGTGTGGGGTCTCTCACCGGTGTGGAACCTCAGGTGGCGCCGGAGGCTCTTCCTCAGGGCGAAGGTCTTGGAGCAGGTAGAACACGGGTAGGGCCTCTCTCCCGTGTGGAAGCGCTCGTGCCGACGCAGAATCTTCCTTCGCTTGAACACCTTCTCGCACAGGTTGCAGACGTAGCCATCCCGGGAGTGGGTGACGATCTTCTGGAGGCGCCAGATGCCGTTCTCGCACTGGGTGAAGCAGCAGAGGCGATGGCCCGTGTGAGGACCCTGATGTCGACGGATGTCTTTGGGTGGAGGCCAGCCTGAGCTGTGGCTGGCTGTTTGAGTTTTCCCGGGGTTGCTTTCAATCACTGACTCTGGGACAGAYAGAACATCCACCAGCTGTACAGCACAAGGACGCAGCAGCTTCGGATCTTTAGACATGAGTTTCAGTTTCATCTGGAGGTGGTTCTTTGTCCCTTTGGGTGTGTGGATCCACTCCCACACCCCTACCTGCGCGGGAGTCACCGCTCCATCCGATAGGGACGGACTGTAAGCGCTGCCCTTGGCGGTGCTGACACAGGCCTGCTGAGGTTCAGCTTGACCAGGCTTCTCTGAAAGGTTGGCTTTGGGAACGATGGAGTCAGGTTTAAGGATTAACGGACAAACAAACTTCACCTTCTCCCCAGAGGAGGCCTCATATGGATCTGGTTTAAGCACAAGAAGCTTTAATTCAGCAGGTGAACTTTGGGTTGACTGGCACAGCAATGTCTCAGTATTTGTCTCTGCAAAAAGTGAAAGAAAAAAAAACTAAAGTAAAACATTTCTGATTTAAACAGACATATTTTTTGCTTTATTKTGCAAAGTGTTGTATAAAAAAGCTGGTATGGTGCGAGTGAGTGTTTAAGATCCCCTGCCAATGAAGAATAAAAACTAGTCTATGTGTGTTTGTTTGCACTGCCCCCCCCCCCAAAAAAAAATAAAAAGATCACCACCTGGATTTAACTAAACAAATAGATAAGAGTCTCTCATTGGATAATTATTGTGTGTTTCAGCAACAGTTTTACCCTAAATGTGGTTAGTGACCGCATGGTACGTTAATTAACTAAAAAAAAAAAGATTGCGCACTATGAAAAGAAAAGTGAAATATATGCAATCTACCCTTGTAAACACGAACATAGGATACAATGACAGTATCAGATTATAATCACACAGCATTTCCATGGACACAGTGTGAAGGGAACTCAAGYGATTGGGACTCAGTTTCTGCTTGGCCTTCAGAGGAGCAGGATGTGCTTTCGCTCTCTCTGAACCCGCCCCATTTTACCTCCCCTTTATGTGTTATCTGACCTAAGCCCCCCCCCACCCCACCAGGCTGTCTTGCCCTCTCGCGGGTTGTTCAACTCAATTTTCCTTTTGTGTATTTCAAGCTGTTGTTAAAGGTAACACAACTGTGTTTGCTGCATGACCGGTTTCACCTGTTCCCCCATGTTTGTCTTGTATGTCTCTTGAATGGGTGTTTAACTGCCCCCTCTCCCCTTCTCTGAATGTACAGCACCTTGTGAATTTATTTCTGTGAAAGGTGCTATTTAAATAAAACTTTACTTACTTACTTACTAAACATATGAGATAAATCTTGTGCCAGCAGGTATTGAATTTGAATTGCCCAGATTGAATCTGAATGTGCATAATTTGAAATCGAATGCACTGGTTTGAAAATAAATTTCACTAAATTGAAACAGAATRTAATGGTTTGAAACTGAATTTAAAGTTTTGTATCTGAATTAATTTGCTTRGAAACTGTATTTTGGTTTATTGAAAATTCAGTTTGACTTCTTTCACTTTCAGTTCCAAAATTCAGATTTTTGTGTCACATCCTGGTCCTCGAGAAAGCCAGCCAGAGTAATCAAACAGAGATCCACAAATTTACGTTTCACTTCGGTGAAGCTTCCCTTCTGTATGTAACAGAGTTGATGCAATCCACCGTAAAAGTGACAAAAACAGACAAAGTTATTTTATTGCAGTGACTAAATTTACCTATATGTAGACAATGTTACATTTACATCAATTACATCATGGATCAGTCAGCAGCAGCATCTGATCAATATGTGATGCATGATTAGATGTAAATATAACATTTTCTGCATATACAGCGGGTAAAACAAGTATTGAACACGTCACCATTTTTCTCAGTAAATATATTACTAGAGGTACTAATGACATGAAATTTTCACCAGATGTCGGTAACAACCCAA